TTTACCGAGGAGCCATCCAGAAACGGGGAGAAAGCGAGATTATCTTCCATCTCGTTCCACTTCAGATGATCTTGAATCAGGGAGGCATCGGCCTGTTCCTTCCACCGTGTGTTCTTCTTGCGCCTGGCCTGCCCACGTTTTCCTTGTTGACCCCAGCGTTTGGAGCTGAATCCGCTGATACAAGCTTTTCTCCCAATGGCTCCTTCGCCACAGGTGGGGACCACCTGACTGCTGCTTGAGGTGTCAGAAACTCCAGGAATGGCACAGGGGGGATCTGACTGCGAGCCATTTTTTTTTTCCTGCAAAAGACCTACTGCTCGTTTTCCAGAGCACTTAGTAGCCAGCCAGTTGGGTACCACTTGATTGTCCAGGATCACAACAGGCTGCAGCTGGGGGCTGTTTTCAGCCAAGTTGAAGCTGCTTGCTTGATCTGAGACAACCCCATTTAAATCACTCCCTCTTTTATATGGCGTGGTACCTGCTTGAACAGACATCCGTTGTCTCTTGTTATGAAGAGTGTCTCTCCCCTTTGGCAAAGAAAGGGCAACCTTTCCATCACATACATTGACTTGCAACTGGAAAGCTCCCTGCAGTGGCCTCAGCAGGGTCACATGGGTCTTTGGTGACATCTTTGGGGAATGATCCTGTTCTGTATCTTGAAGATGGCTGGCCTCACTTGGAGGAGACGCAGCATTATCTGGTGACGCGGCAAGTCCTCCCCAGCCCTCGAGAGGTGCTTCTGTCCTGCTACAGAGGCTCTGAGATGGCCTCGCACAGTGGCTTTCAAAGGGCACAGACTGGGGCGTTGGCACCTGCGGGCGCTGGCACAGCAGGCTCCCAGCATCTTCATGGGTGAAGAGCTCCAAACTGCCCACGGTGGCCTGGACGTCATCATCCCCGTCCATGTTCAGCAAGCTCAGCTCCCGGAGCACATCGCGGGGTGTGCCGCTGTCAGCCCTCAGGTCTTCCTGTTTGCTGCGAGGGCTGCAGCAGCAGCAAGAGACAGAGAATCTGTTCCGTGAGGGGCTCTCTCCCGCCGGACTCCGCTTCCCAGTCGCCGGGGGCTGCTGGGGAGTGCTGCACACCAAGGGCGGCTGCAGCCGAAGGCCGGCCCTTCTCTGGGGCCGGGGGCGCTGGGTGACGTTCCTGCACAGCGGGGTGGGGGGCAAGCGGCAGTCCTCGGCCCGCCGCCCCTTCGGCGGGGCGCGGTTCTCCTGGGCCGCCCTCCTGTGGGGCTGGCGGCGGCGGCGCGGCGGGCCGGCAGGCAGGAAGTCCGGGTCGTCGAGGGCGGAGGAGGGCGAGGAGGCGCCCCCCGAGGAGCTGGTGCTGCTGAAGTAGCGCCGCGGGTCGACCTGGGGCGAGATCCAGGGCGCGGCGGGGCCCACCAGTCTCAGCCCGGCCCGTCCGTCCGCCGCCTTTCTGCGGAGGCCCCGCTGCCCCGCGTAGGTCTTCAGCAGCCGCGGCCGGAGCCTCTCCATCCGGAGGAAGAGGGGGAGGGAAGCGCAGGCCGGAAGCGGAGGGCCGCGCGGGCGGGCCCTGCCTCTCTTCAGCCGCGCAGGGCCCGCCTCGCCGGGGGGTCCCGTCGCCTCCGCCGTCGAGCCGCCAGCGCGCCCGCCGCCATTTCAAACCCGGCTCTCGCGAGAAGCAAGTCGTTGAGCGAGACTCGGCGGGAGCGGCGGCGAGAGGGGACTCGGCGGCGCGCGGGGGCGGTCGGCGTCGGTCTGTCAGTCGGCCGCCGCGCTCAGCCAATCGCGGCGAAGGGAGGGGCTATGGCGTGGCGTCTCCGCGTCATCGTCATAGAGTTAAGGATGAAAGAAAGCGGCGGCGTCAGCCACTGACTTCCGGTTGGAGCGGAAGGGCGGTCCGCGAGGGTGGTGAGAGCGGGGTGCGGCTGCGTGCTATAGAGGCGTTGGCTCTGATGGTTTTCGAAGGCGCGGTTTCACCAAGTTCAGCTTCTCTGCCGGTGTGGTTTTTGACATAACGGCGGTTTCGTTGGAAGTAACGGAAACGCCCCGGCTGGTGCACGCGCAGCTGAGTGCAACGTTTTGCCCGCGCTCCTTCCTAGATCGAACTGTATTTTTGTTCTACAGCTCTTGTTTCGTTTCGCAATAGCTTTTGTGATTAAAAGTGTGTTTCGAATGGAGTTTGAATACCTCAGTTGGTACTTTAAAAGAAAAGCTGTAGACGACAATGGTGCGCCCTTCTCCTTCCGCCTCCCCGAAATGCGGACGTCCCCATGCCGGAGGGTTGCAATGTCCCCCTACCCCTGTTGGGATATTGTAACTCTGCATGCAAGAGGATCGCTCCTAGTGTCCTGGCCCCACTGGTGGACCTCCTGATGGCACCTGGTATTTCTGGCCACTGTGTGACACAGAGTGTTGGACTGGATGGGCCTTTGGCCTGATCCAACATTGGCGTGTCTTATGTTCTTATGAAATAAAAATTCTAGCCTGCATTCATAATATTGAGTACAGATCTGGACGGAAGGCTGTTACTCTTCTGGGTACAGAGCAGAGGTCACTGGGGATGGGAGGGAGGTATCTGTGAATTTCGTGCATTGTGCAGAGGGTTGGACTAGATGACCCTGGAGGTCCCTTCCAACTCTATGATTCCGTATTGTCCGTCTATGTCAGGTCGGCAGGCTGTGGCTCTGGTAGTTGTGTGTTTATAAGAACTCACTGTATTATTTCACAGGTCCAGTCCTGCCACTCCCCCCCCCCGACAGTCTTCTTCATAACAAAATCAGTCTTGTGCGTTCTCATGACAAAGGGTTGCCAACCTCCAGGTGGGGCCTGGATATCTCCCAGAATGATAACTGATCTGCAAACTACAGATATTAGTTCCCCTGTAGAAAATGGCAGGTTTGGAGGGTGGACTCGATGCCAATATACCCTGCTGAGGTGCCTCCCCAAACCCTGCCATCCCCAGGCTCCACTCCTGAAATCTCCAGGAATTTCCCAGTCTGGAGTTGGTAACTCTATGAGCTACACTGCAAGGATGTGCTGCAAGCAATATGGAGACAACAGCACCAGATAGTATTACTGGGCTAGAAGAAAGGTTGGGAAATGAGGAGTTGTTAACCATTCTTTTTTAGTGGCAAGTCCTCTATCCCCCCATAATATGGGGGCAGCAAGACTGATCTCTGTTTTAAGATTTTCATAATCTTGTTTCTGGTTTGGGGAGTATGTGAAGAGGGACTGTTCCCCTGTATTCCTGTCGATGTCCTTTTAGCCATCAATATATAATAGAAATTTTATGGCTTTAAGTACTGTATCGTTGATTTTCTTCTCCCTTCCCCTCCAGAAAACCACAGTATGCAGAACTGCAAGGGACTTCATAAGGAAAGATTCTGGGCATGCCAGCTCAGAGGTAAAAAGGGTACTGGCATTTTCTGGTGTCACATAACTCTTTTGTGAAATTATGGCAGTTCATGTGTTGTCCAGTGATGGGGGAGTCAAAAGAACATCAAAATAAATGAAACTTTGCAGCACCTTAAAAGATTCTCAGGTTTTTATTCCAGTGTAAGTTTCCATGGACTACAGCCCACTTCGTCTGGTTCAAGCGTTGGCTCCTCACTAGGAGTGGTGCTCATCTGAATGTTGGATTTTGATCTAGGAAACCTGAGTCCAGATCCTCATTCTGCCTTAAAATACACTGGATGATCTTAGGTCAGTCACTATCTGTCCGCCTCACTTACCTTATTAAAGGGTCGTTGTGAAGATAACATGGAGGAAAGGAAAACTTATGTGCCTGAGCTCCTTGGAAGAAGAACTGGATAGAAATTTAGTCCAAGACAAGTCAAACATGCCCTGTCCATCTGCTGGAAAGCTACAGTTAACCATAATCTAAACAGGAGCAATTAGTTCTGCGCTTGACATTTTCTCGACATTTGCTCTGTGACAGCAATATGTTGATTGTTGTGAGCCCCAGTTTCTGCCAACAGTGCTCAATGTTCTCTCTCTGGCATGTGTGCCCTTCTGAGAAATCTCATTTTACCACCTTTGTTTTTCAGAACAGTGGGACAGTCCAATACCAACTTGTAACCTGTGCTATCGTGTCGGAGAAAGAGAACGTTATTGTGACCGCAGAGCTGACTTCAGCGAACTCTTTGCAGGTATATTCCACTCTGTGGATCAGCTGTGCCCGCTTGAAGACTGGGAAATCACATCAAGCCATAGATTTGTCGTTAATATCATCCCCTTCCTTTTCTAGGTCCTTAAAAACAGGACTGGCTTGCTGGTTACCGGAGAAATAATTTTCAACAGAGACCTTTATGTGGGTTTGAATGAAAGACTCCATAAAACACAGGTATGGGAGAGGTGGGATTCTGGGTTCTTTTTCCTATGGAGGAGAAGGTAGAGCCAAAGTTGGATGTGAGGTTGGGGTTTCTCTTTTGCTCGGTATGGGTCCATCCCAAACAAGAGGTAAATCCCATTGGGGTCAGGAGTACGGGGGGGGGGACCAGAAAAAGTGGGCTAGCTGCTCTTTGCTCTGCTGAGGGATAATTCTGGTCTACCTCAAAGGATTGTTGTAAGGATTGTTGATGTGTTAGTGAAAGACTTAGATTAAGAGTGTTAAAGGAGGAGAAGGAACACAATGTAGCCCAAATTAAGGACTTAATTACCCCATTCATTTCGATTAACAAATTGGACTGAACAGCACGATGCTGTGCTCATTAAGTCAGAGAAGAGAAGAAGAGATTGGATTTATACCCCGTCCTTCACTACCCAAAGGTGTCTCAGAGCGGTTTACAAACTCCTTTCCCTTCCCCTCCCCACAACAGACACCCTATGAGGGAGGTGGGGCTGAGAGAGCTCTGACAGAAATTGCTCTTTTTCAAGAACAGCTGTGCCATAATTATTGCTTGCCCATGGTCATCCAGCAGATGCAAGTGGAGGAGTGGGGAATCAAACCCGGTTCTCCCATATTAGAGTCCACGCACTAATCCTGAAGGGATTTGCTTCTCAGGAAACATGCAGAGGTTCTGGCTACAAATCCCTCCCACTGTTTCGTGTAGTAGTTAAGTGTGCAGACTCTAATCTGGGAGAACCTGGTTTGATTCCCCACTCCCACTTGCAGCTGCTGGATGACCTTGGGCCAAGCCATAGTTCTGTCAGAGCTGTTCTTGAAAGAGCAGTTTCTGTCAGAGCTCTCTGCCTGTCTCACAGGGTGTCTGTTGTGGGGAGGGGAAGGGATAGAAGTTTGCAAGCCGCTCTGAGACTCCCAAGTGAAGGGTGGGGTATAAATCCAATCTCCTCCTCCTCTTCTGAAATAAATTCAAATTACTTAACTTTTAGCTGGATACGAGAATCTAAAGCCAGTTTTCATAATTGGGCAGGAGAGGAAAGCAGTTGTGTCCTGGAGTGTGGGAAATTATAATATTTAAACTAGTTAAGATGTAAGTGAAATATCAGGTTCTGGTTTAGCCAGACGTCTAAGAAAATAAGCTGAGATCCACACCGGGGGGGCGGGGGGACACTTTGGTTCATATTTCCCCTTTGCCGAGAATGGACTGTCTCAGCCTTAGCCTGGCCTACCTCATAAGACCGGTTTGTAAGGATTACAAGAAGATATCATGTGTAGAGCACTTTTGATTTGAGAATTTATATTCCCCCAAATGTATAAATGACATTAACTCCCACCTTTTTAAACAAAAATCACAGATAATGGTTTTCTTGCTAAAAGAGAATGACTTTGATTATATCCCCGTCCTCGTTGGAAGCTCTGTAGCTGGGATTTTGTTCTTGGCTTTGATTATTGTTATCCTTTATAAGGTAAGCGTCAATCTTTCCTCATTCATTAAGCCTTTAATTCTCTTTCAGCTGTATACATTTCAGAACTTTTGCAGGGCTCTGGGCAATGCACGGTATCTATAAAACACAATCGGGTAAAATCATTAAAACATTAGAAACACATATTCGAAGAAAAGCGAGGGCGAATACTAAATCTGATTTCAGACTGCTGGCTACTTCGTGGGCTGGGGGTGGGGGGAGAGGGCAAAAGAGAGGTAAACAGCAGGAGGAATGAGAAAGGGTGCCAGCCAAAAGGAAACCATGACTGTCCTCAACCAAATGCCTGGCGGAACAGCTCTGCCTTACAGACCCTGCAGAATTGCATAACGTCCCGCAGGGCCCTGATTAGAATTCCCAGCTTTGGGTTGGAAAATACCTGGAGATTTTGGGGGTGGATCCAGGAGAGGGTGGGGTTTGGAGAGGGGAGGGGCCTCAGCATGGTGCAATGCCCTAGAGTGGTTAAGTGCGCGGACTCTAACCCGGGAGAACCGGGTTTGATTCCCCACTCCTCCACTTGCACCTGCCTGGATGACCTTGGGCAAGCCGTAGCTCTGGTAAGAGCTGTTCTTGAAAAAAGAGCAGTTTCTGACAGAGCTCTCTCCGCCCCACCCACCTCCCAGGGTGTCTGTTGTGGGGAGGGGAAGGGAAAGGAGTTTGTAAGCCGCTTTGAGACTCCCTTGAGTAGTGAAGGGCAGGGTATAAATCCAATCTCTTCTTCTCTCTCAGCCCCACCTACCTCACAGGGGGTCTGTTATGGGGAGGGGAAGGGAAAGGAGTTTGTAAGCCGCTCTGAGACACCTTGGGTGGTGAAGGGCGAGGTATAAATCCAGTCTCTTCTTCTTCTTCAAAGCAGCCGTTTTCTCCAGGGGAACCGATCTCTGTCAGCTGGGGATCAGTTGCAAAAGCGGGAGATCCCCAGGCCCCACCTGGAGGCTGGCAGCCCTAGCTCTGGTGGTATTTGGCAGAGAGTTCTGCCAGGTTGGGTCCAGGACTGAAATGGCCCTATGGTTCCCAACGTGGTGCCCACGGGCACCGTGGCTCCCACCGACATCTTTTCTGGTGTTTGTAAGGAGTAGGTGGGTCATGGTAGGTTTCTGATTGACTATTGGAGATTTGATGGACTGTGCAGATTTTTTAGAACGTTACTTTGGCAGAACCTTCCACCGCAGCACAAGGATCTACATGGTCTTTTTGAAATTAAGCTGTGGCGGCCATTTTGTGGCCTGCGCCACCTCCCGCAGCAGCCATTTTGTGGCAGCCATTTTGTGGCTTGCATCCACCATGCTGTGTCAGAATTTCAAGTGTGCCCTCAGGCTCAAAAAGGGCAGGGGACCCCTGGTATAGACAGCAATCCTTAAGACTGGGAGGTAGAAAACGATGGCAACAGTGATTTGTGCAGAGCTAACCTCTTGCCGCAAAGTGAGCAAAGAGTAGGAGTTTGAGCTTTCCAGCTGTCTGAATGGCTGGCAGATGCTTACCAATCTGTGACTTCTCCCCAATTTTTAAAAATCAATTATTTTGTTACCTTTTAAAAAAAAATTAAAAAAAATCAGACTTGCTGATGCCTTGACTGAATGGCAATGCATATTTCTGTTTTTTCTTGCTTCTAGGTTGGCTTTTTCAAAAGGAATTACAAAAATATGTTAGAAGAGCAGCGCGATTCCTAAGCCAGGCAAGATTCTGATTCTGGGTGAAATCGCCCAGGGACTCCCTCGGGTTGCAGAGGAAGAAGAGAAGAATCAAGTTCCGGCTGCTTATTTTATCTCCTCACCGCATAATCTGAGAAAGGGTCTCAAATCTGACTTGGCACAATTTATTTCTACATCTGATCTGGGAATCTTACAGAGTGGGGAGCTGGGGGTTGGCTGATTTACAGAGCCCTCCTAAGCAGAGGCAGGCCCTTAGACCATTGAACTCCAGGAGCTTACAAAGGTGTGTCTCTGCTTAGATTGGCGGCGATAATCATCCACTCGCTTAGGTTGCAACCAATGTTCCCTCTAAGCTGTGGAGTCTTGTGAGCAAAAATTCTATTTTGTGAGCTCCTGGCATTAAAGCTGTGAGCGAGCGATTTGGCTAATGCATCAATTAGTATGCTCTGGAGCCCTCCTTCCTGAGCTGAGACAAAAATGTGTGAGCTGGAGGCTAAAAAACTGTGAGCTAGCTCACTCTAACTCAGCTTAGAGGGAACACTGGTTGCAACTCATTTGGATTTGTGAATGACTTGTCCAAACGTGGCCTCTTCTGGCTGAATCAAAAAGAAATGGTTTATGTCAAAATCAGAATGGGTATAATGTGCAGGGCCCAGGGCCAATGTTCCCTCTAAGCCGTGGAGTCTTCTGAGCCAAAATTCTACTTTGTGAGCGACTGGCATTAAAAGTTGCGAGTGAGCCATTTGGCTGCTACATAAAGTAGTTTGCTTTGGAGCCCTCCTTCCTGAGCTCAGACAAAAATGTGTGAGCCAGAGGCTAAAAACCTGTGAGCTGGCTCACACTAACTCAGCTTAGAGGGAACACTGCCCAGGGCCCTTGGGATGTTTTTGCTACAGCTTTTACTGTTATGTTAGATCTGTGTGCTGTGTGAATGAACCCGGACCTTCTGAATGTTGGAAGAGGAGGAGGGTGCAGTGTCCCTTTGCACCAGGCACACCAGTGTTCCGTAGGTAACCAGATCAGATCCTCCTCCTTTTCGGTTCTGCTGCCGTCTCTTTGTTTACCCAGAATGCTAATCTCAGGAACTTCCTTCAAGTGGCTTTTTCCTTTCCTGTCTTTATTCTCACTCTTTGACCTTGAGAGCAACATGCTCTTTCCGAGAGCCAGACTAGTCGTTACAGATGACATGAGTCGGGAAACAGGTGCCTGACTCGCTGTCACACATGTTGAATGGAGGATAATTAATAATTATCATACGGCAGTGGGTGTAATATAGATTGTCTGGCAGCCTGAAACTCTAGCTCTTTTTGTGGCGAGCTAGGTTTATTTTTGGGGCCGAGAGGACTGTGACTGACACAAGGTCACCCAGCTGGCTTCATGTGGAGGAGCGGGGAATTGAACCCCTTTCTCCAGATCAGAGTCCACTCCTCTTAACCACAACACCGAACTGACTCTCCGAATTGAGGAACTTATCTTGAAAGCACTCCATTGCACCATTCAGCTCCTGCAAAAGGGGAAGGGCTTCAGGCTTGTCTCCCTTACTGTTTTTGTTGGGGGCCTTGTTTGCCCCTTCCACTAGGAGACACAAAGCCAGGTAAAGGGGCAAACAGCCCTCTGTGGCTGTTTCCGCTGGTGAAAATGGTACGGTAGGGAAGCCAGAAACCCCTTCTCTCCTTTGCAGAGCTCTAGAGATGGACAGAGCGACGGAGCGCTTTCAAGGTAAGTTTGCCCATTCATATTTGTGACAGTGCATCAGGTCGGACTCCTGTCCGACTCATGTCATCTGTAACATCACATTCAGCTCTGACTCTCCCTCCATCCTGGCTTTGGTACAGAGCTAGAATGCATGTCTCCCCATCTCAGTATGAATTTCTCTAACAATAAAGAGTATCCATTTTTTTAAAAAGCAACAAGCCTCTCATCGACTGTATTCTGAAAGCAGCCTTACCCTTTTTTTTCAGTACACAGCCAGATCCCGTTAACACTAGAGCCACACACAAATAGCCAAGTGGAGGAAAGAAATCCTCCCAACTCTCCCAGGCAAGGAGCTGTGGATTTTGGTTCTAGCACCCAGGTGAAAGACTGTGTCTAAATATGGACTCAGACAACCACACTCTTTTTTAGGCATCGATGACGTGACTATGTTTATCTATTTAAAAATGTGTACCCTGCTTCTCAAAGGGTACTGTAGCTCAGTGGTAGAGCATCTGCTTGGCCTGCAGAAGGGCCCACGGTGTCTCCCGTTCCAAAGAATGGGTAGTAGGTGATGTGAAAGACCTCTGCCTGAGACCCTGGAGAGCCAAGGCCAGCGAAACGAGACAAGACTGACCTCAATGGACCAAAGGTCTGATCCAGTGGAAGGCGGCTTTGAGTGTTCGATGTTCACGATGCTAACAGGGCGGACAGCTCCTCTTTTGGTGGTACTGAAGCTAAGGTTCTGGAGGGGGTATGTGATGCTAAAGCCTCCCCTCCCCTCTGCGTGAGGCAAAGCAACCCCGACGCTCCCCCAAGGGGTAACGTGAATGGCAATTGGTTTCTCTGCTGACAGGGCCCTTATCATCTTCAAGGGCAGAGCTGGAAATCTGGTCATTAGCTTCTCGTGAGAACCTGCGGCCCCCAAGGAAGAATCGGGTGATGAAGTAATTTTCTAGCAGGTTCCAGCAAGAACGTGTCCTGATTGGGCATCACCACCACCTGATGCTGCTTGGCCAAAAAACAGGCTGGGAGCCTGAAGAGAGGAGGCTAGCTTGAAATCTGACAGACTGAAGGCCTGGACTATGCTATGCTTATATTGCAATAGACAGCAACATAGGGAATTGCAGAACCTATGGCCTTTGACTCTTGGACATAAGGTTTGTGCCCTCTAATGGAGGT